AGTCGCTAAAAGAAAGAAAATCCATTACGTATAAGATTTCAAATCTCTGAACCAAGTGATGATTTAAGAATGTTTTCAATTATGATGCAATGCTTCGAGGAAAAATGAATTTTCAAAGATTGTAACACCTGGCATTTGGGATAGAAAGCAAGCTATATTATATTCAAACTTAAGTAAAGGAGTTGAAAATGAGTTCATTGGTCATACAAGAACTTCACCACTTCCTAACCCTAAATACTATAAATTAACTGGCTTCAATCGTGAGTTTTGGATAGACATGTTCTCCACTCATGACCATAAAATGTCCAGTGTTCTTGCCTCCAGACCATAAAGACTGTCTCTACATTGAAGCACAACTCTTAAACTTACCATCGCAGTATTGTAAAATCTACGCTAGCTTTATTTTTATCACGAATGACCTCATTCATGACTCATTCATGACCTCATTGCTGACAAAAATAAGCCGCTAGCGGCAAGGGCGAAGCCCATGACCTCAGAACTTCAACTTACGAATAAAGCTTGTTTTAGTCGTTATTGAAAAGTTGAACTTTTCAGCAAAGCAAGGTTGACATGACTTACATAAGTCGAATGCAATCTCTTGACCATCATAAAGTGCTTTGTAAAGTTTCATTAAACTGAACTCAGAGTCTTTGTCATATGTTCCAACAGGTATGTGAATGTTCTTATCTTCATTGTAATAGCATTGTATAGCTTCAGGAAACATTTCATTAGCGGTTAAAGCAATAACATCTTGCTTCACGCCTTTCATTCTGCAGTGAAATGCAACTTCATTTAAATCGTTAGTGAGTAAGTCTATGTAGGTCTTCTTTCCACAGAAAATACTTTTATAAGCTAAACTTTGTTTTCCAGGTGTTATTTCTGCAAAGTCGCTATGAAATTGACCAAGGTTCTTTCCTATAAGTTCTCTACCATATCTCTTCTTAAACTCTGCTGCAAGCTTTGGGATGTCTTCATTATATAAGTGCATACTGTCGGTATCCTGGTAAAATATTTGAAGACCCATGTCCTCTGCAGTACAGAATACTTCATTCATAATACGTTTTGACATAGACAGAATATTAACACCAAGTGGACAGAAGTTAAAGTGTCTGCAAATGCTTTTCGTTAGCTTGAAAATAGTTTTATCTGAACCATCCAAACCTTCGAACTTCACTATATGGTTGTAATTTCTTATAGCATATCTTATAGCATCTTTGTCATTTACTATGGTTATTTTTGACTCAATAGGAGATAGAATAGTTTTGCCATAAATGCTGTTCAGAATGAGTTTTATAATTTCTTGCAAAGGATTTCCTTCTTTCTTATACTTTAACCTTAACTCAAACAACTTCTTTACTTCATCTCTTATTCTCATATCTCTGTTTCCATCGTAATAGTATCCTTGCAACACTTCACATTTGACACTTGATATTTTATGAGGTCTTGTAATGTTATATGGTCAACATGCATGAGACAGCAAGTGTTTGAACTTCTTGGAACGTTAAGTTCTGGATTTAGTTCAGGGTCGCAAACTATTAAATGAAAGTGTCTGGGTATACCAATCTCTGTTATCTTAATGAAGAACAAAGAAGCCAGACATAAACTTTTCACCAATGGGTTTTTTGTCGTCATCGAATAAATGTCTCATGAGATACTCTGTGCTTAGCATCTCATCCTTCAATACTTTTGGAATTCCTTCTAAAGTTAAAGTCTTGCTATAGCTGAAGGATATAATGAAACAGTGTCGAAGTCAGCAATGAGTTTCTTTTTGCTCTTTTGTTTCATGTTATCTGACAACATACATCTTCCCCTTGAATGCATCTCGAAATAAATTCTCTTGGTTTATTTGAGAGGTCATAAAGATTTCCATTCGGGAAGTATACTCTGTTTCAAACAATTTGTTAGCAATAGAACAAATACTAACGTAGTCATAAACGTTTAAATCAAACTCTTTCAATAAGTCATTGCGGAACTTTACAAAACCTTCTCTTAAAATTCTTACATCTTGTTTGCAGTAAAACGTGCTATATTTTTCTAAGTCGAAGTGGTTTTCATCTATTCTGCAACCTTTGATGGAATCTATGTTCTTCATAAATGTATCTGCATCATGGATAAACTTACATGCTTCAGAAATGACACCAGTTCTGTTGTCATTTGCTAACAAAACACTGCTGTAGTAGTTATATGGAAATACTTCTTTCGGTCCTGTTTGTAAGTTAAACATAGCAGGAAATAGTTTAAGCTTCTTATTTATAACACTGTAAGAGTCTTTTATAATAATTGCCCGTCCTTTATATAAACCAGTTATTTGCATTGTTCGTGAACCTTTAATGATGGGAGTTCCTTTCACTTCTGTCATGTGTCTTAAGATGAAGTTTATGTCATAACTGAGGTTGTGAAAATATATTAAACTCTTGTCAGGAGTCTTTCCAAAAATTCTGTTGCACAGTTTTGACCCCAAATGCTTTCACTAACTGAACCATCTTCACTGTCATAACAGATGTTAAAAGCTTTATGAAAGCCATCCGTACTACACTCAAAGTCAGCAAAGAAAACGTGCTCAGGTATGAATTTACATTTAGCTTTATTTACTTCTTTTGACTCTGCTTTCTTCTTCAGTTGTACACAATACTTTGGAGCATATGTCAAATCTTTAAATGGTGCAAGGTTCTGTTTATATAAGTCAGTCGTATATGTGAAAAGTTCTCCATAAGAAATAGGTTCGAAATATTTGCACTCCCACAATGTTTTCATAACATCCCATAGCGGTGTAGTTCTATCCATGCGAACTACATATTTGTTCTCTCTCTTTGTATATATTTTCATCTGTTTCTCAATGTTCATTCCACCACACTCCTTCAAGATTTCTTTATAGTTTCGAATGAAGTATGTTGTCATTGGAAGTCTTTCATTTAGCATGTAGTGGTCTTCAACAAGAAGTAGGTCAATAGTTCTAACAGTTTCGCATTCTTTTGGTATATATCTCTTTATTTCATTATGTCTTGAGTCATTGAAATAACCAATGGTAACATTAAATGCTATACCTGTTGCGTCAGAAATTTCTTGTACTTTACTTTGAGGAAAGTCTCTAACACGAATGACTTCTCTCATGTGGTCAATAGTTTCTTCATTTACTCCAGCCTGAATGCAAGCATAAACGAAACAATTGTCCTCTGTCATAAGTGTTGCAGTTCTTTTGTTCAGTTCATTGAAGATTTGGTAGCGTTCAAGATTTATAGGTAATGTGCAAAGATACTTCCAGAACTGCCCGCTTCTCTTCTTATAAAACTTCTTTTCACCATTATCTTTCCAAAAGCTTTCTATAAGTGCTGGGTTTCCTGTTTGCTTAAGAGCTTCCAAAATGGCTTTCTGGTCATTTGTCAGTGTGCTTTCATCTCTATATGGTCTCTTTTTTGGTTTGCCTTTCTTTACATCTGACATCGTTAAGCCTTCATATTCTGTTAAATCATACATCTTTATTTCGGTAAGATTCTTTATGTTTGTCAAGAAGAAGTCATAGTGCATTTCAACAATACCTGCAGCATTTGCTTCTATCTCTGATATAAAGTTCTCCTTCAAGAGCTGATGTAGTAATGTTCCAATATTATTGAGGTTTAACGTAGAACATTCATACTTTCCACCAAGTTTATAACATACCATCCATCTCTGTTGGAGTTTATTTTAATTTTCTCTAAGAGTCTCATGAAAACCTTACCGAAATGTTTGTGTAAGTAGTCTCTGTTTGGTTCATCTAAAGCTTCGATGTTAAAGTCAATGAGTCTATTGCCTGACTTCACATTTCTCTTCCTATTCTCTTCATCTTTCTTTAACCATCTCTCACCTTCTTTTGGTTTGTCGTCAATGGAACGAATGACATCGTTAGCTTTGCGAACTTGTTCTATAGCACTTTTAAACATCTCTCTTCTCTGTTGTTTCAGTGTGTCGTCTCTTCTTCTTGTTTCACCAACGTTCGCATTTGTTATGTCAAACATTTCTCTTCTTACTTCATGTGGTACAGCTCTTCTTGTTTCACCAACGTTTGCATTTGTTATGTCAAACATTTCTCTTCTTACTTCATGAGGTACTGAACGTCTATGATATAAGTCAATAGCAACGTCATTTAAAGGAAATGCTCTTGCATGGACTTCGTCCTCGCCGCGTTGCGGCTTTATGAACTCATGAATTCTATCATAACTTATTGCACCATTATAGTCTTTAATGAAGTCAGCGAGTGCTTTTTTGTTTGTTGCGTAATGCTTTGCAACATCTATATTAGCTTCTGTAAGAAGTTGTTTTATTTCCGAGTGTTCTAACTTAGACAACTTCCGATACATCTTTAGTAGGAAATAAAAAAATATTTTTGAAAAAATTAGATTAGATTTTTTTAAGTTATTTTTCAAAATAATTTAATATTTTTATTTTAATGAAACACATGCAAGATTGCAAGTTCTTTTCATACAATGCTCTCGCTACTGCCATCAAGAATGAGTTCAATGGTTCTGCAAACGTTAATGTTATCTTTAACAAGAAGTTTGTGAAAGAATCTAAGTTCGGTCAGTATGTCAGACCATTAGCTATTGTCATTGACCGCAAACGTTATACTTCACAAGAGTTAGCAGTAGTTTTGAAACAAAAGGGTTTCTTCGTGAATGTCAAAGATACTCATTATACTTTATAAAGAACTCCAACATTGACTTCTTCAGTATTGCTATGAATCTTTCCGAACAGAAAGAATATAAGAAGGGTGAAACAAATGTGAAATATTATCCTTCATCTCTGAAGACAATAACGAACAAAGATGTTATACAGAAATTCTTACCAAAGGTTGAAGAAGCTTCAATTGACATTGACGAAGGAAGTGAAATGGTTGAAGAAATTGACCCTGAAGCTATTTAAGCAAAAATATATTTTTGGTGAAGAGGTGAGATGTCACCTGTTTTTTCACCTCATTCTCTCTTCGTTAATGTTGTCGTGACTTCTTCGTTAATGTTGTCGTGACTTCATTCTTCCTCTTTGAAGTTATCGAAATATTCTGTTATTTTTTCCTTCAGTAATGTTAAGTCTTCTTTGAAGGTAAGTATTGTGCAACCTTTGATGTCATAGTGTGTTTGAGGAAGAGTATTTTTGACAATTTCTTTTATTTGCTCATTCGGTGTCATTGAAATCGGTAAGTTTTCACGATAGAACCAGTTTCTGTCAGATTTATATATTTTAGCAAGGTCGTAAAAGCTTTTGTTGTTTCTTCTGACTAAATGCAACATAACCATATCTTTATCTTCTTCATTCTCCAACTCTTCAGTATAAATCATATACTTATAGTTCTTTTCCTTTCCTTTTGGTACTGAACGTGGTATTCTTTTCTGTATGCTTTTGTCTTTGGATTCAATGACTTCATCTTTTGCTTGAAGTTTCTTTTCCATCTCTCCACGTTCTTGTCTGTGAAGTTCGTCAAGAAGTTTGTAAATATTCCAAGCATAACGTGGTGAAGCCCACATTGCAACTGCATTTACTAAAAGTCTATGAACATAATATCCTCTCAAACCGTTTGGCAATTTTTCACGGTTTTCATAGAGTTTTGGCGACTGGGATTTTTTACCTACTCGCTGTTCTTCACTGTTTTCAGAAAAAGTACGTCTCGCTGTGCTTCACTTAATAGTTCTATGGTGCTTTGGTTCCTAAACCAGTCTTTAGGAAGCTTAGTATCTGGAGCAAAACAAGCCGTCAAAATACTTTGCATTTGGTACATGTCGTCTTTGACAGAACGAATGAGTCTCAATTGTTTGTTATACTGTATGTATTCGTATTCTTCATTTATGACTTCATGAACGATAGCAGTTGTTGTGTTCTCTAATGTTGACATATCTGTCTTTACATACAGGATAAAAAAATAAATAAAATAAAAACTAACTTTATTTTTTCTGAGATAAACACTATTTCTTCACAACATTAAATTTTATCCTGTATGAAATGACTTTAAAAAGATTATTGACTGACTTCGAATACTATCTCATTGACGCACTGACAGACCCTCAAAACTGTGTTGAAAGTTCTTTAAGCTTTAAGATTGAAGGTACGACGCATTTTGTCTTCACTTACGTATTGAAAGAATATGACCGTTATCATAACGAAGTGAATCAAACACTAATAAAATTTGTAGATAAAAAATTGGTTAACAATGAATATTTTAAACGTGAAGACCCAAACACTGCTGGAGATGATGAAGAATACAGACAAGTTATTGAAAAAAATAACGCAAGATTAGATGCAATAGAAAAGAAGTTTAATGAATGTCTTACAAACACGTATGAATATCTTATGCGGTGGGAAGCTAGATGGAAATAAATTTACGTCAAATATGCAATTTATAAAATCTTATGTCGACAGGCTACGTAGCACAGTGGTCTAAGGTGGTGTTATGGAGGGGTCAGGGTCTGTGGTTCGAACCGCGACGGCGCCGTATTTTCTTATTTTCTTTATTTGTCTTGTTTGTCGTGAATAAAAAGTGTCATAAAAGTGCTCTATCTTCCACGGGAATAAATAAAAAATTTACTTTATTTCTTCTTTATTTCTTTGTTCCGTGGAAGAAGGGTTTTGCTGTTTTTTCTCAGCCGAAATCAATGATTTTTTCATTTTTGGAATCCTTAGCGAATGAGGAATCTTTTCTCTCGTGGAAGCTTTGACCTAAAATATAATTTAGGTGAAGAGGTGACATCTCACCTGTTTTTTCACCTGTTTTCTCACCCTAGTTATTTTATAAACGTTTCACATGGTAAACGTTATTTTTTTAAATTTTGTGAAAACTCAACGGTTTGACACAAGCCCTAAAAATTATTTTACTCAGAATTTTGTTGCTAAATTCAGTAAAAATAATGTTTAGGTGAAGAGGTGAGATGTCACCTGTTTTTTCACCTGTTTTCTCACCCTAGTTATTTTATAAGCGTTTTACATGAATTGTACGATGTATATTTGAAATCCTAAACAATTTCGTAGCTTCTATTTCTTCTGTCAGTATGTCAAAAGTTTTAACAATGCCGAAAGTTTCTTTATATTTCTTCTTGACGTCAGATAGAAGGAAATCTTCTGCTGTTGGATAGTTTTTGTTCAGAAATTCTAACATGTTCATTTTATCTTCTGCTGGCTTTTCTGCTTCTTTCTTTAAGTCTGCATAGTCGTTTCTCATTCTTTCTATCTCTTTGACTGAGTAGTTATATTTCCTCATTGCTGCTTTACATTTAGAACATTGTGGGTTCAACTTTGCGTTATATTCTGAAACCTTACCTGCTAAAACAACTAAGGCGTCAATGGTTTTCTTCATCTCAAACATAGCGGGTCTTATCTGTTCATTCCATACCTTACCTCTTCTATCTTTATCTCTTATTTCCCAAACACATTCAGCAACTAATGAAACAAAGTTATCGTAGGTCTTAAACTCCTCAGATTTATATATGTCAGAAATGTTTTTATATACCATGTCGCAATCTTTGTCCATAACCTTATGGTTGCAATGAAAACCAAGGAATTCATAATTTACTTTACGTATGAACTTCTTTATTTCTACTGAGTCAGTTGGTTTCACTTCAATTTCGTCGAATTCAGGAATAGTGAGTTTTTGTTGTTGGATTTCAGGCAATTTGGGTAAATGGTCAATAATGTCCTGCATTTCATAAAGATACTGTTCATTTGTTTCATCTTTCGCACTACAGTCTAAATTACTTGTTAAAAGTTCTTGCTTTATCTTCTGGATTTTTGTTTCAAAAGTATATGAAGAAGGAATGAAGTTTTTCATCTCTACTAACATTGACGTAGGATTCATGACTAACGAGTTTGGTGAAGTTGTTGTGGACAGAGTCCCGCCGTTCGCGGCTTGAATTGTTGTTGTGCCGATTGTTGAAATCATATCTTTACATACAAAATAAAAAAATAAATAAAAATAAAACTAACTTTATTTTTTATTTCGGGAAAATTCATGAGGTGAGAAAAGAGGTGAGAAAACAGGTGAGATGTCACCTCTTCACCTAAATTATATTTTTTGGTGAATTCAATAAAAATAAATGGTTCATTTACTCACAATATTTTTGTACAAAACGACCCCAAACTTTTAACTTCTTTTCTGCAGCTTCAAATGCTATCTTAGCGAGTTCATATTCTCTAAATTCTCTCTTTAAATCTTCTTGTTCCCATTGGTCTAGTTCGTATGGAGAATCTCTATAACCATAATATATCTCACGTTCATGTTCTAATTGTTTTTCACACATTTTTCCAACTTCTTCTTCGAACAAAGGTTTAGCATTCTCCACTGTATCTTCGAGTTCTTCTTCATCTAACTTCTCATGAACTTTCTTGTCTATGGAGTCCATAATTTTTCCAACTGCTATACAATATTTTGGAGAAGCCCACATTGCAATATAGTTTACAAGTCTTGGGTCTACATACATTCCTCTAACCTGTTTGATTTCATCCGGAATTCCTGCATGAATTTTGTATAAAAAGCAACCCGCTGTTTTCCGCGGGTTGGTATATTCTTCACAAAATGCCTTAAAATACTCTTCCCAGGACTTATTTTCCAACAACCTTCTAAAGTCTTTCCTAAACTGCTGACACATCTTTGTTGCATTAATGTAACCATCCTTGTCTCTACGTAAGACTTCAATACCGTTATAAGTGCCTTTTGTGAATGTTTCACCATTAGATTTGTTCGTGAATGTTTTTGCTTCGACTGACATTTCTGTTCTTACATACAAAATAAAAAAATAAATAAAAATAAAACTAACTTTATTTTTGGTCTTTTGTGAAAATTCATGAAAATTCAAGAGGTGAAAAAAGAGGTGAGAAAACAGGTGACATCTCACCTCTTCACCTAAATTATATTTTTGTCTGATTTACATCCAACGAAAAAGTTTAGAAGAATTTTCTTATTCTTTCTGGCATGTTTTTATCTTTCCAGTACTCCCGCTCTAATGGTCCCAGATGAGTTGGTTTAGATTCTCTCAAGTTCTTAGATGGTATAACATCTTCAACGCCTCCTTCATATCTTACTTTATAAGTGTCATCGTTTGTGTTATAGTCAAGTATTTCAATAACCACTCCTCGCTTTGCTTCGTCAATGGTTTCAGCAAGTTTGCCATTACTACTTTCGACTAATTTATGTCGAGGGTAAAATGCTATGGAGTCGTCAGCAGCTTTTATAAGATATCCATTACCTTGCGTAGAGTCTACGATATAATAATTTCGACTTAACCTTAAACGTTTCTTTGTCAATGGTTTGTCGTCAAGAACTACACGAACTTTTGTACCAGGAATGAGAGTAAATTGTGTTGAATTTCTGATATTTTGTGTTTGGCTTCGTTTCTTTTGTATATACTTTTCTTCTTGTTGTTGTGTCATTGAATTTGGTGTATGTCCTGTTGTAGAATGTGTTGAGGAATTGTAAACTTCGATGAAATGTTTCATTGTTTCTTCGGTAAAGTCTCGCTCTTGATTTAAATCTCTGAGAGTCCTTATGAAGCGGTTAATGATACCGAGTATGTTATGGTTATGGTCTTCAGTAGTGTAGTGAGTTATGTTATGCTTAATGAGAAAATCTGTGATTTCATTGCTGAGGTATGCACTGTCTTGGTCTGATGTTAAAGTACTTGGGCTATGTTCTGCTACAAACTTTTGTAAAACTCTTAACACTTCACGAGTTCCTTTATTTTTCATTGGATATGCATATGCTTTACGAGTGTTAACATTAATGAAGATGAGGAATGTTTATGACCACATTTTCTGCTTTGAATGAGAGTGTCAAATTGGTATGCGTCAGGAGTGTTGGAGTAAATTGGTAAAAAGTAGTCGTAAGGGTTTATTTTTGTTTGATGTACAACATTTTTGTCAAAGAACCTTTTCACTTCAGCTCTGTTAGTAAATCCCCAACTCTTTGCAGCTTCATTGAATTTCTTAAATGACCTCCATGGATGTTGTTCGAATACTTCTTTCAAGCTCATTTATGTAAAGTTAAAGATTTTAACCAACTCGTATCCAAGCGTGCATTGTTATATAAGGAGGCATATAATCTTTTCCATTACCTGCTGGGTCTGTAATACCAGCTACAACATGTGTATGATTTCCTGCAGTTCCACAGAAAATACCTGTGCTTGAATCTACTGGGTCAGTTGAAATATCATATCTATGCATTCCCTGTCTATCCGAACCCGCTGCAAGATTTGTATAACCTCTTTTTGTTATTGAATGTGAATGGTTTCCTTCCACAGATGTTCTTCCACTGAACCTATGCATATGTGAAGGAAGGTTTTCAATACCTATTTTCTTTGAACCTCCCATCTTCATTGACTGCGTATTAGTGTAGAATGGAAAACTGTCAACTATTTCATACCATCTACCACCAAATAAAGTGTTTGGATTTATTGGATTCATAGACGTATAAACAGCTCCTATAGGATATATTAAATCATATATGCTCATAACTCTATAAACATATTCTAAAGAACTTATGTCATTAAATACCATTTGGAATGTATCTCCCGGATGAAATGTTGCATTTGTTCCACTTTTATAATGTAATGTTAGTTCAATAGAATTATCCAAGAAAAATTCAAAAGTATCTGGTTGAAGACCTCTAACAAATTCAAATGGAGTTGCTGGTTCACCATTTATAATTTCTGTTGTAAATGTCATTGTATCTGGTTTCGAAAATTTCTTTGTTAGTTCAGAACTTTGTTATTGATGTCCTTTCAATAATTCTGTTGAGATGATACAATAAGGTTAATTTTATTGAGCACTTTTCGTCTTAGCTTTTGATAAAAAAGGTTTTCTAAATTGATTCTAAGTTAAAACGAAAAATTTAACTGCTCTGTATGATTATCGAGGAATTAATGCAACGCATTCGGAGCCTTATGAAATTCTTCTCCAATCCGGAAAATATTTGTTTGAATTATGGGGTGCTTCAGGCATAGGAACTGGATCGAACGGTGCATACGTCAAAGGGTATATTAAATTTGATAAATCTATAAAATTATATCTTCATGTCGGATCTAAATATTATTCTGGTGCAACTCTTCCGTCTTATGGTGGCGGAGGTCCAGGCCAATTTTCTGGCGGCGGATCATCTGATATACGCCTTGAACCAGGCGATTTTGGAGATTTCAACGGTTTGAAAAGTCGAATAATCGTTGCTGCTGGTGCAGGGTCTCAGGATGGTACACTCATTGGAAATGCATTTTATGAGGATGCTGGTGGTGCTGGAGGCGGGCTACTTGGATTTAACAGCACATATGAGCATGGTCTTGGCGCCACTCAGATATCAGGAGGACCCGGAAAAGGTCTTGCCGGCACTTTTGGATTTGGAGCTGGAAATCCAAATAGAATAGAATCCTCAGGAGATAATGATGGGAATGCTGGCGGTGGTGGTGGGTATTTCGGAGGTGGAAACTCCGAAATACCTCAACATTGTGGCGGTGGAGGGGGAAGCTCCTTCATTAGCGGTTATAAAGATTGTATTGCCATTCTGAATTCTTCAACGAAAAGTGACATTAAATTTTCTAATTCATTTGATCCATCAATTCACTACAGCGGTTATAAGTTCACAGACGCAGTAATGATTGATGGTAAAACATCTATGCCAAGTCCACATGGTGGCACTGAGGTTGGCCATTCAGGGAATGGCTACATACGAATTACCCAATTTGAAACAAATTATGTGAGTTGTTCTCAAAAGTATTCTATGAATATCTTTAGTTATTTTATACTTCTTATCATTGAATCATAAACAACACTTTCAATAAATTTGACATTTGAATATTTGTATGTGAACTTATAGATGATTATTTAAGCTTTGAATTAGATGCATAAAATATATTGATTGATAAACAGAATAAATGATTTAGAACTATTATTGATGCCCTTTCAATATTCTTGTTCAGATTTATATAGTTTACGTTATCTTATATTGGCAAGTACTCTCAATATTTCCAGAGAGCAATTAAGTTAATTTCATTTGTCACTTTTCATAATTGATTCTGACAAGAAAGTAGTTTTAAATATAGATAGGTTCAAACGAAAAATTTAACTTTTCTATATGATTATCGAGGTATTAATGCAACACATTCAGAGCCTTATGAAATTTTCTTTCGGCCAGGAAAATATTTGTTTGAATTATGGGACGTATCTGGTGGTGGAACTGCAGCTAACGGAGCTTACGTGAGAGGATATATTAAATTTGAGAAACCTATAAATTTATATCTTCATGTCGGATCTCAATATTATACTGGTGCAAAACTTCCATCTTATGGCGGCGGAGGTCCAGGCCAATTTTCTGGTGGCGGATCATCCGTCATCCGTCTTGAACCAGGCGATTTTGGAGATTTCAACGGTTTGAAAAGTCGAATAATCGTTGCTGCTGGTGCAGGTGTTGGTGATGGGCTGTTTGGATTCAACAGCTCATCTGAGCATTGTCTTGGCGCTAATCAGACATCGTGAGGACCTGGAAAGGTCTTGCTGGCACTTTTGGTTTTGGAGCTGGAAATCCAAATAGATTAGGAAACTATCGTGAAAATGACGGAAATGGCGGTGGCGGATATTTTGGAGATGGAAACTCCGAATTACCCAATTACTACGGCGGTTGAGGGGGAGCTCCTTCATTAGCGGTTATAAAGGTTGTATCGCTATTTTGAGTTCCTCGACAAAAAGTGACATAAAATTTTCTAATTCAATCGATCCATCAATTCATTACAGCGGTTATAAATTCACCGATGGATTGATGATTGATGGCAAAACATCTATGCCAAGTCCACATGGCGGCACCGAAACTGGCCATGAAGGAAATGGCTACATACGAATTACTCAATTTGAAACAAATTTTGTGAGTTGTTCTCAAAAGTATTCTATGAATATCTTTAGTTA